TCCTGTATTTTTATTTGAAACTAAACCTACATTTCTAAGAAGTGATGGACACACTGCATGCCCTCCTCAGGTCGTGCTCCTTGCAGCAGTAAGGGTCTTCTACATCCTCCACTGAACAGGACGAACCAGCCACGACTGGGGGTGGAAATATCCTCCCACCTTAATTGTTCACTCTTAATTTTCAAAGTAAGATACTTTTTTTTCTGCTATCCTCCTTACTTGGAAAGTATGTCCTACTAAATATAAACTAGAGCAGCTCAGAGGTCCCTCAGTTACTTCATAAGCAAGTACTTCAAGAATTGATGCCTCAAAACCAGGTAACTAATAAAGAATGGCTTTTTAATACCCATCCGTATCCTGTTGGAAGTACTACTGGGAAATTCAAGGTGGGTTTTGCTCTTCATTTACCATAGACCAATAGTGCTACTGCTACAACTTTTATCCCACATACCTGAAAAGAACTGTACAATTTCTTCTTTGCTACAGCCAAAAGGGAGTCCTCTAAGACGTACAAAACCATCATTAGCTGTATCAGGGCTGTTGGGACCAGTGTGCTTCAGAACCCAATCCATTTCAACGTTGTTTGACTTGAAAACTGTAAAAGGCACTTAGAATTAATGCATTCCAGAATACACAAGAGTTTTAAAAGTAATTTGCCTTGAAACTAGTCAAGTCATGATACAAAAAGTCCATTTGTCCCTTCACATGCATTTTGAAGAGACAGAAAAGCAATTAACGAAAAACCCAGCAAGCACAAACACATTTAGTCAGTTACTAGACCAACTGAGTCAAACCTTCAACATATCTGTGTCCCATTGTTTCTCTGTCTTTTTTCAGTGCCAATTTCACATCCTCCTCCGATTCAAGTTCAGCAAATGCTTCTCCACTTGGTCTGCCCTCTCTGGTGTAGATGAAACGGATACCCAGAGCCCCATTTAGAATTTTGCAATCTGAAAATGAAAGAGGAAGGACAGAATTAATTTAATGATTACTGGAACATTGTGACTTTAAGTGTCAGATATTCTAAAATAAGAAAAAATTACATCTATCAGGTTACACTAAGAAGGTAAAAACAGTAGCATTTGTGTCCTAACTTCCACAATAAACTAAAAGACTAAAATAAAATAACCCTTCGAGTCTGAAGATTACCAAAACATTAGGGATAAATTTTATGTATTTCCCAAGTTTTGCTGCCTCAAGTCAAGTTGAATTATAACTGACTTACACTTTTATCACCATGAAGTAAAACAAGGAGTAATATCAACGTAAGTGTAACAAACTAAATCAGAAAAAAGTCTCATGTGCTCAACTCCTGAAGCAGCTTTAAGATATCCAGTCACTAAACAATGTGTGTATTTATCACCAGTGATGCTAACAATTTGGTGGGAGGATACGATACACTGAACAACACAAGAGGGCCAGGAGCTACACTGATTTGGTTTAACCTGAAGCATGAAGCTTCTTCTCTCTCCTGGTTGCTGAAGCAGTTAAGGTAGTTGTGGCTATCCCAGCAACTCCCAGTCTAAGCTCCTCTGCATCCAGCTAGCAGAAGCATGCCTTTCCACACTGCACCTTGGCTGAGGCACTTGTCACATTACAAAATCTGCTAGCTACTGAAGGGCCCTGAATGCTTTCTGGAACTACCTACAGCAGCACTGCCACTCATGGTGTTCCCAGGGGGAACACAGAATTGGTAAGTGAGAGCCCAGACCCCTCTCCCCTCAGTTCTGCTTACCGGAGAAAAACCGCTGCACCTCCTCGGTGGAGCAGGACCAAGGCAGCCCCCTGACTTTCACCACGTATCCCTCGGTGCTCTCCGTGTTCAGCATCACGTTGGGGGTCAGACTCTGCTCCGCCTCGGCTTCTGTGGTTGCTGGAGGAGATCAAAGCGAGCCCTTTGAGACGCCGCACGGCACGGCCGCCACCCGCACCCCCTCAGAGCGCC